AGGATTCACAAACTCATCGTAACTAACCCCAGGTCCCGGGAAAGCTTTAGCAAACTCTAATTTGTCTAAAAGCTCACCAACAAAGAAAGAAGAAATGAAAAGTTTCCTCTGACTCAAAGACATGAAGTTCTGCCTCACTGCATCGTCTAGAAATTTGATTAGGTTATTGAAATAACCGTCAATGTTCAAGAGACCAATTGGTCTATTGTGTAACCCTTCAGAAGCCCACGAGATCAAGGTGAACAAACCTTCCATAGTGTCAACTCCTCCAGGAAGAATGATGAAAGCTTTCACGGCATGATTCATCTCAAAATATTTGTAGTAATTGCTGGAAACTGTGTGCTCTACGCCGTATGTAGGTCCGTAGACCCGTTGTGTTGCTATGTACCCAGGAATGAAACCTCTAACGAGACCTCCATTGGTAAAGACTGTTGAATCAACAGCTCCTTGTAGGCCAACGTTGCCTCCTCCATAAGCAAGACTAATTCTTCGCCTTATCAATTCTCTTCCTAAATCTACTGCAGTAGCCATAAACTTTTGATTTTTACCAAGAGAATGACTGCCAAGAAGACCAACGAATCTTATGGTGTAAGGAAGTGTTCGAGAAGTTCCTTCCATAATGTGAGAATGTGAGATACTCTTCCCATAATCGTGATATATATAGTCTCTAGAACCTGACCATTCATGGAAAAGTAATTATCACCAGCCAAAATACGTACAGTAAAATGGATTCAAATTACCTGCAGACGAGAACGTACTCGCTAATACTATAGTATGCTGAAGATATGACGTATTGAGACTCTTGAATAGTTTGATTCGCTGTGCTGAAACACGTTCAAATCCGAGACGAAAAGTCAAAACGGCTATTTCCTAAGACAACGACCTCTTAAGTAACTTCCAAAGAGTGAAACATTGAAGGAAGAAAACCTACTATTAGTAACGGTAATTTGCAAATGCTATCTTGATATCTTATGACTCATATCCTTGAATTACTCAAACTTGATGTGTTAACTACACCCTTGAAACATCCCGCTTGATCAATCTTGAAAAGATTGAATT